GGCGCGCGAGGGGCCGCGGAGGAGGAGCGCTGGGGCTGCGGCCCGGGACCCGGCCTGGAGCGGGAGGTGGCGCCTGGAGTCCCCGCGCAGTGGGAGGTTGAGGCGAGAGGGTCGCAAGTGCGAGGAGGCCAGCACTGGGAAACGGAGGGACTTTGCGAGACCCTGGAAATAAAAAGTAAAGAGGGCGGGAGGTGAAGCGCAGTGCGAAGGCCCTGGGTCCAGTCCCTAGTACCACAAAAATAAGTTTTGAATTCTAGACCCGCATAAGGTATTCAGGTGTGTGCACGGGGGAGCGGTGCGGAGGGGGTGGGGGTGCGTTGGCTTGCAGTTGCTACGGAGTGTGAACGCGGATTTGGTGTCTGCTAGTGCTAAAACACAGTATTTCTGCACAGGAATCAATCGGGAAAGGGAAAACCCATCTTGATCTAGCAGCCTCCCCCCGTTTGCTGAGGTATAATTGACAAGGAGTTGTATATATTGAAAGTGTGCAACGTGCTGTTTACATATGTGTGCCTTTCAAAGTAATTAGTACAGCCAGAGTCATGAACAGATCTGTTACCTCTAGACAGTACCCGTTTTCTTGGTAGTGAAAACTTAAAGATGCCTTCTTGTACCAGGGTGGTGGCATATCTCTGTAATCCCAGCTCTCAGGAGGCTGAGACAGGAGGATCACAGCGAATTCCAGGCGCGCCTGAACTACATAACAAAACCTTGTCTCAAAACAAAAGTCTCTTCTCTTAGCAAATCTTAAGCATACAGTGCAGTATTAACTATAGCCCCTGTGCTGAACACTAGATCTCCACAATGTATTTATCTCTTCCTCAATGAAACTTTTAAACTCCCGTTCTCCATGTTTGTCCTGCTAAGCAGGAAGAGGGGTTTTCTTTTGCTACCTTGTACGGAGTGTTTCAGGAGAAAATGTAAGTGTTTTGTGTAGACAGAAAGGCAGGTGTATGCAGATCGGTACAGCTGGATTGCAAGGGATGAAACAGGAGAGGTTAGGGTTAACCATGTACATAGAGTCACAGGACAGTGATCTGTCAGAACTCGAATTGGCCACAGAGATGGGAAGAGCTTTAATTCACAGAGGAAACAGCTTCTCTGTCCCCTCCCCCAGTGGTACAAAAGAAATAGATAACGTTCTTTAATTGAATTATCTATAATGTCTGTGATCTTCAGTCACTGCCTTACCAACTACTCAAGTGTAACAGAAATCACAGTTTGTACAGGACATCGGGTACATTCTAGGAGGCTGAGGCAGGGGATCCAGCCTGAGTGACTTATTGAGACCCTGTTTCAAGATAAAAAGGTGGGGAGGTGTGGTTGGGGATGTAGGTCCGTGCAAAGGTCCTAGGTTCAACAAATATGAAATCTTTCTGGAAAAAAACTCAAAAAAAATTTTTTTGGCATCTGGAATCGAACTCAGGACCTTGTGCTTGGTAGGGAGATGCTGTGCCCCTGAGCTATATCCCCAGCACAGGAGTTCTTATGAAAAGGAACTGTTGAATTGGCATTTGTTGGTAGAGTTGATCTCACTTATGATGATTGGGATATAGGTCTAGAAAAATTGGTCTTTTCATATTTTGCCCAAGAATAGAGATAAGAAAAAAAATGGGAGTAAAAAAGACTGGATTTTTTTTTCCTTTTTTTTTTGGTGGTGCTAGGGCCTTGTGCATGCAAGGCAAGAGCTCCACCACTGAGCCACATCCCCAGCCCAAGACTAGAATTTTTTATTTGTGAAAAAGAATTCCTTGCTTTTCAGGATATCTGTTTGAGATATTACTGTTTACTAAGCATATTCATTAAGTATCAGTAGTATGATAAACTCACTTAGAACACAGATAAGGGATTTAAAAATGGGAGTTCATAAACAGTAGCCTGATTAGTTTTATTAGTTGATTTTTGCAAGACCCCTGAGAGTCTGAGACAGTTTTTTTGTGGGGCGGGTGTTCAGGGAATCAAACTCACGACCTCAAGCTTGCCAGGCAGGCACTGTGCACTGAGCTATATGCCCAGCCTGTTCTGAGACAGTATTAAGGAGAGTTGCAAAATGATCTACAGGAAATAGATGTTAGTAAGCTCAACTATAAAATAGAAAAGAAGGGGCTCCTGAAGCCACATCTGTTGTATTTAGACAGGGTACATGGCTTCTGTGATTCTGTGATTGGGTAAGTTTTCTTTCTGGAGTGAGATCTGTGACTTCTGTCAGGCGATAGAGGGGTCAGTGACTGTGAACAGTAGTTAAGAATTGCAGGAAGAGAAGTGGTCACTGAATCAGACTACTTAGAAACAGGAAGGGGAGCCCTAACAAAACATTGACACATGTGTGTTGCAATAATTGGACATAAAACTGACTTTTCTCCTTTTTATAGGCCGAGTGATAGCGACTTTTGCATGTTCAGGAGAAAAGGAAGTCAATGTGGCTGTTCAGAATGCAAAGGCTGCTTTTAAAATATGGAGTAAAAAATCTGGCATGGAGCGTTGCCGGGTCCTTCTGGAAGCTGCCAAGATAATGAGGGTGTGTATGTATATATTCCCTTCCAGAAAACTCCTGACATTCCCCTGCGGGTTCTGGGCAGTTGACTTTCATGCAATGCTGAGTTACAACATTTTCATGAAATGGGAAAACATTTTCACCTGCTCACCTTGGTGTGTAAAACATGCTTTCTTTTAGTAATTCCCACCCAGATCTTGGCTCTTGAGCAGCTCCCTTGGCAGGTCTTCTTTTCTGTAATGGTGCAGAATTAGAAGGCCTTCTTGGTAGCTTGTCTGCTTTTCTTTTTAATGTATGTTTGTCTGTTTGTTTCTTTCTTTGTCCACTTTTCTTCTGATGAAATTTAAATTTTCCTTTGTTTTTCAGATTTCTTTTATACCTTAATTGCCTGGAAGTATTCTATTTGGTCATGGATGTTCCCTTATTTAAAAAAAAAACTGTAAAACTTTTATATTATAGTTTTTTAAAATTAGAGTCTATTGATATGTTTTAGATATACATAATGGTTGCATTCATCTTAGAGAAATACATTATAGTTTTAAAAGATAGATCAGGGGCTGGGGATTTAGATCAGCGGCACAGTGCCTGCCTGGCAAGCACAAGGTCGTGAGTTTGATTCCTGGTACTGGAAAAAAACAAACAAACAAACAAACAAACAATAAAAGATAGATCATAGGAAGTAGGGAAACGGACCCTTCTCACAGGGGAAGGGGATCAAGAGATTGATGGAGGGAGAGGGAGGGAGGAGTAGGATGAAAAAGGAATTGACATGTGTTATGTACGTGTACCAACTCCACACAAGGAATGGAAACATCATGTACTACAAACATGTACAGAAAGAAAAAAGCAAGGGGATCAAGGCATGAGTGGAGGAGGGAGAGAGGGTGGGGAGGGAAAAGGGATGAAGAAAGGAATTAAGATGTGTTATGTCTAACAACCACCCACATGGAATGTGAACATTATGTACGACATTCATATACTAATAAACTAAGATAAAAAATGAAACTGTGAAGGAATAAAAAAACCCCAAAAGAGTAGATGTTCATTACAGAAAATGTCAATATTCAGAAGAATACATACCAAAATATGAATCATGGATATCTCTGAGTGATAGGATTGTGGTGATTGTTTTGGTCATAAGTATGTTAAATCAGAAACTGAAGGTTGTGTTACCTTACTTGCAAGAGTGGGTGTACATGTACACACACATACACATGCACATGCACACCTGTACATAGATTCTGACAGGAGACACACAGCTTTTAGGATTAGAAAAAAAGGTGGCTTATTACAGCAAACTATGTGGAACGGGCTGGATGACAGGAGAAGACCCTAAAATTAGGAGACTTAGCATATATAGGCACAGCTGTCACATCTGCCCATCCTGTCCTCTGGAGAGAGAGAGAGCAGTTACTCATTAAGCAGATCTCAAGCTGAGAGGGAAAGGTCACTAAGATTAGTACAGCAGAGTTTAAGCAGATGTGCCCGGGGACAGGGAGAAAGGACTTTACTCTTCCGCATTACTCTGATGGTCTCTTACCTTTAGGCTAACACCATATCTGCCTTCTATGGCTTTTGGTGTGAATCCTCCTGCTGGTGTTCTTTGCCCAGAAAGCCTAAACCATGCAAAAATGTCACAACATTTATGGAGAATTTTTTCCTGACAAGTATTTTCCCCTGTTGTTAAAAATTAGTTTTAATTTGATAGACCAAAGGTGGTGGTCATTGTAAGCTAATAGTTATTTTACTTTGTCTTTTGTTTTCTCCTAATGCAGGTTGGGCTATTATGTCCTCTTAGGAAGTGGATTCTTCACTATGAAATGATTTTTATTGGGCCTAAGTAATATCTAAGAATGTCTTTGCTCTGTCTGATATTTTCCTTCTCACGTAGAACTTCCCTAAGCACCATTCCTTCCTACGACATGTGCTCACACCTGAATATCTGTGAATGTGCGCGTGCGCGCACACACATACTCACACACACACATACTCACACACACATTTCTCAAAGTGTACTATTTCAAACCGATCACAAATATGGTCTGAAATGTTTATCACCTAATTAACTTGAAAGGAAGAACAGAGCTGCTGTTTAGCAGCAAGCTTTTATTTCTCTTCCATATGTAACACTGCCATTCCTTTTATTTTCGTTTACAGTGCAAGGTATTTTTATTTTAAAAAAACCAAACAATGAATTGAACTTAACAATGTGAAGACATGTGGCCCTAGGTAATAAATCTAGTCATCTTTTTTTTACCCAAAGGAGCGCAAGGATGAAATTGCCACTATGGAGACCATCAACAATGGCAAGTCCATCTTTGAGGCCCGCTGGGACATTGACACTTCCTGGCAGTGCCTGGAGTACTTCGCAGGCTTGGCGGCGTCCATGGCTGGTGAGCATGTCCAGCTGCCAGGGGGATCCTTTGGCTACACCCGCAGGGAGCCCCTTGGGGTATGCGTGGGGATCGGAGCCTGGAACTACCCATTCCAGATCGCCAGCTGGAAGTCAGCCCCAGCTCTGGCTTGTGGTAAGAAGGAGCTGGACCTATTGGGGGCCCCCGCTGCACTGTGTCCCTGTTCTCTGCCCCTCACCTTTCCTTCACCCTACAGCTCAAGGCCAAGGGGTCTGGGACATTCAGACCTTGGAGAACCCAGGTCTATTCCTGCCCTGCCTTGTTCTCCTGACCTCAGGGCCACTTTCTACCCAATGCCCTGCAGAGTCTGCCTAAGAGACCTGCCTGCTTCAGCCACCTCCCCAGAGGCGCTGCCCAGCCCTCACACCCATATTAAAGGCATACATATCTCTAGGCATTACCATGTTTTATTTATCCAATATTTATGTATTACTTATTTTATAATGCCAGCAATTCTAATTTCTTTGGTTTTTGTTTTGCATTACTGGGGATTGAACCCAGGGCCTTTGCAGTGAACTGTATATCCCCAGCCTCCTTTTAATTCTTTGAGACAGGGTCTCACCAAGTCACTAAATTGGTGACAGTGGGCTCAGATTTGTGATCTTCCTGCCTCACATTCCCAGAATGCTGAGATTACAGGTGTCCACCACCACCTGGCTGTAATTTTTGAAGGAAGGAAGGAAGGAAGGAAAGAGTTTTTCCTGCTAAATTGAATTTATTTTGTACTTTCTGAGCAATGATTTCTAGCACTTAGGAGTATGACTTGATTCAGGAAGCAGAGGATAAGCTCCCTTCACTGATTTTTAAGAGAAGTGATAAACAAGGCTCCCATGAGAGCAGCTTTTGCTGACACACTACAAAGTGGTTTTCTTATATTGTTTAAAGAGAAGAATCTACATGGAAGAAGCTTATTTTATGTTAGACAAACTCCTAATGTCAGAAAAGCGTGGCTGTTAGGGTATCATGTGGAAGCGCTCCCTGTGTCACTAGTGCAGCTCCTGTCTTAGTACCTTGGCTGTGGAGAGGCCTGAAGAGAGGGGAGAAAAGTGCCAGGATTGAGCCTCTAGCTTTGTGTACTCTTCCCAGATGACCCTTTCTGGTCTTCAATTTCAGCTTTTACAAAATGAGATGGAAGTCAGGCATGATGGCACATGCCTGTTACCTCAGCACTGGGGAGGCTGAGGCAGGGGGATCGCCATGAGTTCTAGGCCAGCTTGGGCTACATAGTGAGTTCAGGGCCAACCTGAACTACATAGAAGACCTTGTCTCAGAAAACAAAACAAACACATATATGAATGAGTGGAACTGACCATACCTACTTCATTCTGCTGTTGAAAATGTTAGCTTTTAACCACTTAACAGTTTACTCCGAGCATCACTCAGGCATTGTTTATTTACATACTGACTATCCCAAGGGTCACTTGAGCAGTTGTCATTTCAACCAGTCAATTCCTGGATTGGATAAAATTGATAAAATTGTCATTTTTCTATTTGCTGTTACATTACAAAAATTAACAAAACATATGCAAAGCTTTGGTCAACCTGTATTTAAATACTTGGGCTGGTAGTTGGTTTAATGCGAAAGGCCTCCATATGCAGGTGTGCGGTATTACTGTTGGAGAGGGAGCACCTGTATGGTCTGTTTAATCAGAAACCAAGGTAGGAAGGACAAGATGTGTCTGTTACTTATAATGGCTTTAGTCTAGGATTGGTTAGGGGAGCAGCGAACAGAATTGTTCTGGTCCTGCCTTCAGAAGATCACCAGTCTAAAGTCTTGTATGGTGTCTTGGCTTTGTGCAGGTAACGCCATGGTCTTCAAGCCCTCCCCCTTCACACCTGTTTCTGCTGTGCTCCTGGCTGAGGTCTACACTCAGGCGGGAATGCCTCCCGGGCT